AGAATACTATACTAATACTACCCTGTCCGCTTGCAGTCTTCTGCGCTGTTCCTCGGCCCCGCCCGATCGCGTCCGGGTTCACGATCCTGCGAGCGCATCTGCCTCTCTCGACCCAGCCACCCCACTAGGTGTTGTTGATAGGGAGATGATAGCAGAAACCGTGACGCTTGAGGGGTCTGTGTACCTACTGTATAGTGTCAATAGCTCAATCTAGTAGGGTGAGCCGTAGAGGTCGAGGGAGGTGGATGAGCGCGGTGTAAATCATGATTTATAGCACTTATCCCAGCGTCTGCCTCTAACCTACCTAGCTCTCTACACTCACAGCTATGATGTAATAGCTTGTCTCTTTTTGCTATATAATTCTAGATCAGATAAACCCAGCCAAGGGTGGGTGACGCTTGGCGTACAGACCTATCCTTAACCATGTGGCCAGCTATATAATTACCGATTTACAATTATATGCATAAATCCTTACGCGCTCCTAGCCGCACGCGTCCGTCGAGTCGACGATTTGATGAGAAATTCATTCGCCGCACCTGACAGCCTTTCAAATCGAAAACATGGTAGAGACTAACTAGACTAAGGTTAGATAGATACTGTCACCTGAAGATGCTCGGGCCTCAGCTAGTATCTAGATAAGATGAAATGGAAGTTGGGCGGTGATATACCTATATGAAGCAAATTGGTCCGCGCCACAGGAGAAGGGGAGACATGAAACAAAGCCATTGAGCGTAAGGCGTGGCCAGGCTGCATATACCCATGGGCTGTATCTACGTGAGGTTGGCGATCCCGCGGAAGCAGAAGCGGGAGCACAGGCGGGAGCACAGGCGGGAGCACAGGCGGAATCAGGGGTACGCTCTCTCAAATACCTACTTGTGCATATCTGCCTGCCTACCTACCTACCTAACCTGGTATGTAGACGGCATCAGCAGCCGCCACAAGTGCGCCGCAACGGCCAGGCTGCTGCGGCTACAGATTGCGATAGTGAGAGAAGTCAACTGACTGTACTTGCATGCGAGGAGAGATAGAAATGTACTTAGGTAGGTAGGTAGGGTGCAGCACATGATATGATTGACATGATATGATGTGATGTGGTGGTGGTAAGTTGTAACCAACCCCGCAAGCAACATCAGACGACGCATCGACGTTATCGCTACCTATACCGCCACTAGTGTGCGCCGCTGGCTGATCTCTAATTGTCAATAAGGGGGAATAGCTTCTCAGAGAGCAGGCTAGCAAGTTGATGACGATTCAAATCAATCATCAGAGACAAAATTATTATTACAATGCAACGCCGGGTGTTACATACCCAAGGTAGGTAACGTAACACCTCTTCTAGCTTGCGACTAGATTTACTTATACGTATTCGATATATTCTACAGGTTGAACTCGTACACGCTTATGTTAGTCTTCATCTGCCTACCTATGGACAGGGTAACAAGGTATGGCAGTATATACACCGTCAGACATTGCGCAAATCACCGAGTATCCCATCAGGCCACTGACCATCGCGAATTCTGCCTATAAAACGTCCTGGTTATACGAGTACTGGGATGAAATATATATCTGTGTAGTAGACAAGACAGGGCTATAACAGGAAAACCATGTGTATGAATGTGTATATATAAGCAGATCCTATTGATGAGACTGAACAACAAACTTATATGCTTGCCGACTGCTCACCCGACCCAGCCAATATCTAACGGTTAGACCTCACTACCCCATGTGTGACGAGTGACGTGTTCGGTGCAATGCTTAGTGTCGTGCTTCGTCGTATTACTTAATCTCGCACCAAGACGAGACACAGGTAACATTAATGTCGTAGAAAGCCAGAGAGACTGGATACCATCTACCGATATAACTATATACATGGAACGTGCGGGATGCTCTGTGCTGTAGAATCCAACGCAATTCTATTCATCATTACTCATTAGATTGTTATTAATTTGACCACTCTCCTCCGTCCCTCTCTTCATCAATCAATCAATCAATCAATCAATCGACCCGTATCGGACGTATCCCTTATGCATAGAATTATCACGGTTCATCTGTGAAAGGGACAGGCCGTCGCAGAGGGTGCGCCTCCGTATTTAAGACGAATTCGTCTAGGTTTATGAGATCTGGCGATGAGAATATCAGGTAGAAATACCGCAGAGTTTCGGCCAGCCAGAAACTCTATAACATAATCAGTAAGTTGGATGCCACAAGTGGTACAATCACTTCAAGAAGGGAATGCACTGACCTCCATCGAATCGGCCTTGACCGTATTAGTCACCTTGACAGACTGAATGGACGAGAACGCCAGGTCGGTCTCTGTCGCGTTGCGAATGGCCTGGAACATCTTCCATGCCATTTCCTGGTACTCGGCATTGCCTGTTATACGGTATAGGAGAAAGACGCTCTCGATAGCCTCGGGCCTCAGCAGGTAGCGGGGGTCTTGCGCGCTTTTGAAGCCCGGCTTGAGGTTCGCATCACCAATGGTCTCCCATTCTTCTTGATTCCACTCGCACGGCTCCAAGGTGTCGCAGTTGAGCAGGTTGAAAACCTCGGGCATGATGCCAGCTGGCATGGCGTCGTATGCCCATACACAGCCCCTTGTGATCTTGTCGCCGATAGCGACATGTTCGGGGATCTGAAAAAGCTTTCCGCCGAGGCCAAACATACCGCCGACAAAGCACGAGAGATGTTGGGATTGAGCGGTCAAGCGCGCTTCCTGATCCGCGACCCAGACATTACCCGGGAACAGGATATCCGCCTGATCTGGCAACTTGGGCCGAAATAATATATTCTTGATAACGGTATCCATTGCCTCGCGGTACATCTTTTCGTACACTGGTTCGAGGCCACCTAGAAGAGCGAATGTTTTAGGGAGATATTCGTAAAGACTGTCGGCGAGTGCGCCTAGCGTAAAGGCGAAATCTTCATTTAACACGATGCGTTGCAGGTCGAGATACGTCGGCCACATTCCGGGAAGGTTTGTCTTATTCTGCCACTCGTCTAAGACCTGCGTTACTCTATTTATGGCGTCATAGTACTTATTGTCGCCGGTGAGCTGCGACAAGCGGGTAAATTCCAGAGACGACGAAGCGACGGCGGCAGATGGATCGTGGCTCCCTGCGACCTGCTTCCCCGTCCTGGCATCTTCAAAGTTCAACCAGAACCCGGGCATGCGATTCGGGGTATCGTATGCCATGTACAGCATGTTGCCAAGCTCGACAGCCTTCTCCAGCAATGCCGTCTCCTTGCTCAGGTCGTAAGCGCCGAGTAAGCCACCGAGGTGCCGTATGGTGGTCTCGAAGTAATTACAGGAGGTATCCCGGGTCTTGGAGTAGTCTATGGTGACGGCGGCGGCGGCGGCCTCGTAGAAATCGTCCTTGAGATCCATGATCCAGAGGGTCGACAAGGAATCGACGAGGGTGGCTCCCCATCCACCGAAGCCGGGCACATCGTATCCCCCTCCAGACACGGGCAGGACCTCGTCGTATCCAAACCCGACGTTCTTGTAGCTCTTCCAGCTCTTTACAAAGGCATCTTTCACCTCGCTACGCCGTGACGCCAGAACCGCCTCGCGCGCGACACCCTCGGGACTCTTGTCTTCCTTGAAAGCATACTGCACCGGGGGTAACGACCGGGGCCGGCCAGTCGGCAAGGGCGCGTATTCGGATACCGGATAGAAGAGCTTCTGCTTGGACCAGTCGTAATGGTCGTGGACGTAGGTGAAGCCCCAGAGCACGTCGTGCTTCTCGGGTATGAGGCCGACGAGGAGGTACAACAGCACGACGAGCACCACTGCGATGGCGATTCGTGACTTGCGACGGAAAATGAAGATCATGGCGTCGTAGGGCTGGTTTCGAATCTGCCATGCGACATCTTCGGCAAGCATGGGCAGAGGTCCTGCTGGGTCGGCTGGAGCTTCGGTCGAGACTTTGGCGGCGGAGACGGGCTGAGGAATCCACTCGAGCCCCCGCGTGCGCCTTTTAACGATGTTCCGATTCTTGTTCCTGTTCTTATTCCCGTTCCCGTTCCTGTTCCTGTCCCTCCCACGGCGCCGTGTCGGATGCTGAGATAGGAATATTGCCAGTGCATTGATGCGGGATATTATTAATATGTTTAATTATGAGCGTCCTGAAACGGAAAGATAGAATATCTAACAGTCTGGCATGGCGACTAACTCTCGAATGTAGTTATTATGTTGGGTATGCCGAACACATGAAGCCAAGAAACGAGATGGTGGATAAAAACAAGTTGGTTGGTTGGATGGCTAAAATCGTATACTGGGATACCCATGCTTACTTAATACAGTCCGCTGCGATTATAAAGCGCTAAGGATTACCGTAAGTACCTACCTCTATACGAAGATGTAGCCAAGCTTGCCCCACGTTATCCGTTACGGAACTACGAAGTACCTACTTTGTATGAGGTATAAATCATAGACACAAGCGCGCTTCTATCAATTTCTTCCTCAAACATTAACTGACACACGTGTTTCGCCAGGTGTACTTTGTAAATCAATGGGAGAAAGCGATTAGTACATACATACATGTATGTATTTTGTATAACTAGACGATAAGTACATGTGTACTTACCTGTGTTGATGCATGTGCTTCAGAAATGTCCTTATTAAACATTGATATCATCCTACCATAACGTGCAGAGTCCTATGATGCAAACTTGATCCTGCCTATATAGCGATGAGCAATATCTTGCAACAGAGATGATGCACTCGTTTTTATTTATAGTACGCTCCAGCTGGTGAGGTTTATAATCTTTCTCACAAATAGAGCAGCCTGTTGACCCCTGAAGAACATTCTTATTTTTAGGGGAACTCCCTCTGGACTGTCCCCCGCTTAAATATATGGCACATGAGAATCATGAGAATCGACTATGCACCCTCACATCACTTGCCTTGGTAAAACCGATCTATTCGAGACGTACCAGATGGTGATGGCTTCACTCGACTGTACAATATCGCGACACAGTAGAGAAAATGTCATCATCATGGGCGAATGGTCTAGGGGTATGATACTCCCTTCGCATTGCAGATTTTACATCAGATTAGCGTCTGGGAGGGGTCCGGGGTTCAATTCCCCGTTCGTCCAACCATTTTGCTTCTTGGCATTTTATTTTTGTACTGATTGATCTCCCACGACTTGATTTGCGTAGGAGCTGTGGAATGGATGCAAATCTGTTTGTTTGGCTAAAGCTGAATATTGAAAAAGATGAACAATTCGATTTATTTGTGTATTGGCGAGCAGTTGAGTTAGAGAAACGAGTCTCTAAAACTTGTCTACTTCTACCTACCGCTTGTACGTATGAGCCTCCCCGCGATCACGCATTAAATGTTGAACCAGTTTCCACCTTACGCTCTTACTGCACTTTGCTGAAACTATGCCGTGTGCCATATCATATATATCTAAGAGGACGGGCTCTGTTCATCTTTGTCTGCGAACTCTGGAGAGCGAAGACTGTTGAGGTCGCCTTCCACCTCATCTCGCATTGCAGAACCGTAGTCGTTTTACTGGCAGCAAAGGGTGACAAGATGCAGGCACATCTCCCGTGCAAGGTATATCTATCCCAGCGATGCTAGGCAGTGTCAGCCGCTAGGGCTAATTAGGCAGCAAAAGAATGCGAATGAAAATGAACAACTCGTGTCGTTAGCAGCGGCGTGCAAAGGCCGGACGACACCCCAGCTACGTGTGGTGGAGGAGCTCGGGGGGTTCCTGCTAACACACACGGCACACAACGCCGACAACGCGCGACCGAGAGAGTACCAGCCTGGTAGGAGTCGGGCACCGGTCGTCCTGCACAATCGGTTCACGTGCCTGATGTACTTTGACAGTACTTCAACAACATCCTCGAGGGCGGCGTACCTAGGAAGCGAGTCATGGTCTAGTCGCGAAGACTTGAAACTGTTGGCTGGAGTGACGAATGGGCGGCAAGTCCCGGCTCGACGTTTGGGGTTTCTGTGCCGATTGTTATGCCCAAGACGAGCGACGATAGACCTCACGATCTCATCAACTTGATAGTTCAGCATCGTGAGTACCATCATCTCCACATTTCGTTGCCGAGCAGTGCGAATCCGTTCGCGGCGTTGGTCGTCGTCTACGCAGTTGGGATGTACTCGAGGTATCTGTCTGCTGATATGGCTATGTCATCCCAGCGGAAAGACATCGAGGCATACTTGCTTGAGGCGTCTTAAATGTCTAGCTGTTTCGTGGGTTGCAAAGGCCATGATTGCTGCTGAGAGGCCTCGAAGAATTAGACGCGGCCATAAGAGCTGGTCATCTTGTTTATCTTGGTGCCATTAATGTCAAAAATTTGCTCGACCTCTGACGTCCACGATTGCTCCTTGGCTGATGAATTCATGCCCGCCAGACAGCAAGCCCCAGCAAGTGTCGGGAATTTCCAAGTGACCTTTTCGATGCAAATATAATCGCCAGTCGCCCAGTCCTCGGGGTGAGCCTCTAAAAATGCCTTTGATTTGAAAAAAGCTGCTTCGGCATGCTGTCTCATGAAAAGGGGCTAAGTCAGTTTGAGGGTGTAAGAGATCGGCAAGCCCCATACGACGTTCTTTCGACCGACTGTCCGCGTGACCCCTGGTCTTGTTATTTGCAAACGGCATAGCCGAGGCGCTGAAGGAGAATGATAGGTACGTCGATTTCGATGACATTCGGGTCATACATGTGTACTCGGCGGCTAGGTTTCACTTGTGTAGTAATTTATTTGCATTCTAGCTGTCGCTCAGAAATTGAACTACTTGCTGAATCTGCGGAGCGTAATAGTCGACGATGCTTAGCAGCGTAGACATGAGAAATTAGATTTGATACCTCATTGAGTAAGTAAATATCCTTACTATACTGCTGTGCTGATACTAACAGTGCGAATTGCGAATTCTTACCTGTTTACCTAGGTGTTTATTTCAACTGCCCTGCTAACCCCTATTCCACACCGCAGCGTCCTGTTCCTAGCTCGCAATATTAGAAGAGCTGCTTTACGTTGCTATATGGATTAGTAATGTGCTGTAACTAGGAATTACCTACTGACCTAGCTAATTAGCGCTTACACGAAGGGTTGTGATGCCGTAAGACTAGCAGGAGATAATTAGCATCTTGCTGGGCCGCAAGCCTGCTTCTGGAATACACCCGCGTTAACTGAGCCGCGCAAATGCATGACTAGCTGGGTTTATAGTGTAGATGTAGTTGTTCTTGTCGCGTATCCTTATGCCTTACATATCGATATACGAAGTACTGGTTGTCGTGGCGGATTTCCGACAACCGCCTGATAAACTAAGCCCTCACTCCACCCTTCTAAATTAGGGTAGCCGCGCTAATTGATGGTTAGTTGATCTATAGTCACGGACTCTGCTCGGGAAACTTTCGCGTCGGCGTCGGGCGAATTTATAGGGGTCTTTCGACTCCCCGGGTATCGAATTCCTTAGGTTTTAGCTACCATCGTCAGATTGTGCCTAATCCGAGTTTAGTTTTGTTGGCATCAAAAACCCCTTCGACAGTGTTGAGCTGGTCCGATCTCTGACGCCTTCATCATCACCTCTTACTCTAGTGGTTCTTACAGGAAATTTAGAAGCACGTACTACAATGAGTCTCAAGCCAATCAAACTGTACTGGAGGAGTGAGTGTGTCAGGTTTCATACTTTCGAGACGTTGGTGACACTAACATCTTCACAGACTACGTTCCTAATCCCTCCAAGGTTCTCATCATACTCGAGGAGCTCAACCTACCTTACGAGACATCGTGGGTCGAACTTGATGGCCTCAAGGCGAAGCCCTACACTGATGTCAACCCAAATGGCCGCGTTCCAGCTATAGAGGATCCCAACTATGGCATCACGCTCTGGGAGTCTGGCGCCATCGTCCAGGTGAGCCCAATGACCAACACCCCCACGCTCTGCCGTTTCGCATTGAACTTATCCTTCCAACTATCAGTACTTGATCGACACATACGACAAGGACAACAAGATCTCGTACAGTAGCTTTCCTGAGAAGCACCTTACGCAGCAGTGGGCGTTCTACCAAGCCTCTGGCCAAGGCCCCTATTTTGGTCAAGCCGCCTGGTAAGTTTTTCGAGTCGTGGGTCAATCGGCTTATGCCCAGTGCCTAAGCATCCCGAGGGGAAAGCCGGTAACGTTCGTTTCTAATTTCAGTTGATCTCCCGCAGGTTCAACATCTTCCATGAAGGAGCGTACGGCGAGTCGCCCGAGTCGGCCAAGGTTCGCTACGGCAACGAGATCAAGCGCGTGGCCGGCGTTCTCGACGGCGTGCTAGCCAAGTCGACGTGGCTCGTGGGCGACAAGTGCACCTATGCCGACCTGGCCTTCACCATGTGGAACACGCAGATCGCCTTCGTAATGAGCAGCCGCACCGGAGAACACGCGTGGGACGCGGATGCGTTCCCGCATTTTACCAGGTGGCAGAACGCTTGCTTGAGCCGTGACAGCGTCAAAAAGGTTCTGAGTGTTCTAGGCGACCAGGAGGTCAAGAGCGGTTGAATGTGCACGTGACGCGACGGCATATGGTAATCAGGCTCGCGGGGTGGGGAAATGTCCTGCATCGCACATTAAGCGAGGCGAAGTAGATAGCCGCTGGAGGACAAGAAATGCCAAGCTTCGCGTTCCCTCTCGTGTCCGCGTACTTTGTACTTCCCATGTCTACATTAGGTTAACTCTTGGAACTCACTGCTATGTACAGTACACTATGTAGGTAGTAGTTAGCTTATCCTTAGACTTGCTTGGCTAGACGGCGGGGTCTTGAGGCTTACCTAGCGAGAGTAGGTGACAAGGGGCTCTGATAGGTGGGAGGACTGTGGAAATGGTTATAATAACATTTAGAAATAAGTATAGCTTTGCAGCTCCCACCATCTTTACCCAACTTACGAAGTACTTGTATATCATTCTAGTCCATTGGCGTCATTCGTCGCTGAATCGCGATAGTTACGTCAATCTCAAATGCACCTGTCAGGGGACGAAGTCCTATCTACCTACTCTAGGAAGGTTCAGGAATTAATTCATCACTCCTTTTCCCCCATGCTCTCTATTGAGGCCTAATATCCTACTCGTCCGTTCACTCTGTGCCTTATTTACCGGAAATGTTAATTTTTCCCTTTTGCGCGGACTGTCTCGACGGCTTGCTTGTAGTTAGAAGCGCACGACTAATGAGGAAGGAGACGGTTACCTTTATAGGAAAGGACTCGACCTACCTACCTACCTAAGTACCTGTTGACTTGCTTTTTGGCTTCGTCCTTACACGCTTTCCCCTCTTTTGGAGACGCCCTGAAAAAGCTAGCGCTTATCTAACGGTAGCGTGTAATTTAGAACTAGATCTCCTACACGCCATGGGCTTGTTGGTTAGCAGCAAAGCAGTAGCTTGACACTACCTACCTAAGTTAAGTAAGTGACTTTTTGAGAGTACCTATTAACGATTGTGTAAGTGCTTGGGACATCGGGCTTCGGCCGAATGACCCTATTTTTAAGCACCCAAGAAGCAGAGGCTTAACACCTGTTTGGCTTAATCTAAAGAGCTAACCAGCGTTGAGAGGTTGGAGCTCTAGTCTAAGTTAGCACCGCAAAGTTGTCGGTTGTTTGAGGGCTTCAGGACCTTCCCTAGGCAAAGCCTCGAAGTCGTCGTGTCAGGGGATGAAAAGCCGTTCTGCGAGAGACCAGCGGGGAAGTAGCATCCAGGCAGATAAGTGGCACCCTTGGGCCTTACCTATGTTAATTGTTCACGAGAAAGTAGGCTAGTACAAAGTAAATAACCTATTATTGCTCCCTCGAATAGACTGGGCCCTAAGTGGCAGTGTGAGAGTGGGAAGTGTAAGCGTGTAAAAGGATTGGGGTTCTAGAAACCGGTCGTTTTCAGACTAATTGCTCATGTACTTGGGAGTCAGTAGCTCAACTGCAATCTATTCAATGGCACTAGAATAAAGGGTTCTGCCTTGTTCCATGACGCCGGGTCCTAACTCCATAGGGCTGGCAGCCCGTGTTCTACGCAGGTAGCTCGTGGTCTACTAAAAGAAGGCTCATGTGGCTTGGCAGGAGGTTTGCGGCTTAGTAGAAGGCTTGAGGCCTAGCAGATGGCTTGTAGTC